AAGCAGCTGTCAGAGCACTGTTCTGTTTACAAGTATCGGAATAATTTCAGATTGGGATTATTATGCCTTGAACATGGGATTGCACGCTTTCGGAAACCCAGAAGTCTCCCACTCATGCACGGCCAGAATACTAGACTTGCAGTCCTATGCAATCTGCATATCACCACAGTCTCCGTGTCAGTTTCCATTTTAGTGTCCATTTGGTTCTCAGCTATTTAGTTTGATGGCTTCACATGATCCTTGTCATATTGGTTCGCCGAAAAGGTACCGCGTGCGTTGTGCATGCCTTCAGGCGCAAGCTGTGCGTGCTGTAGGCTGTGAACCCCAGACCCTAAGATCCAACTCCACTAACCCTCGAATCCAAATCTGCTTTTATCAAAAGACCTGCTGTCACTATTAGCTTATTCAAGGGACCCTTAACGGTGGACGTAGGAGTCCTTCTTGGGAACCCTTGTCCATTAAATTATATAGGAGAGACTGGCTGTAGCTCATAAGGTTCACAAGGATCCCCAGAGATCTCAGAGCAAAAGTGCATAAGAAACGGTCACAGCTCCAAACTCACGTGCTCTTGAATCATTACTTCATTCTGGAGGTTATAGTCCCCTTAAGTAGATAGAATATGGGGTATATGAGGATCTTATTCTAATATTCCCGAAGCCATATTTTTTTTACTTAAGGGGCATTATATTCATTAGGAGAGGATCCGCCAGAACCCTTTGACTTTTGCAACCAACACAAGGCGGGCATGAACGTGACGCTCTTGGGCCTCATGAACTGCCATGTCGGGCGCTTCAACATCCAAAAGTGTTTCCTCATTTAACTACTCAGACACAGCTGAGGTTAAGTATTTGAATCAGAGAGGGCAGCCTACATTTGGTCGGGGAGTGTCAGGTTCGGATCCTTCAGGCTTTGCAGTTTGTAGTTGTTTGGATGTTCAGCTTTAGGGTTGGTCTTTAGGGTTTGAAGTTGAGTCTTGTGGTTTTTGGGTGAGCAAAACAGCCTAGGTGCCACAGCCAGAAACTCTTACGGATGTAACGCCGGGGTTTGTGTCCAAAGTTCTCCTATTGTTGCTTTCCGCTTTGATGTCAGCAATTCATCAGTCCTTTTGTTGCTGGTTTCTCGTCGTAAGCCTCAGGAAGCCATTGTATGTCCATATCACATCTAGCATCTTAACCTGCACCTGGACAGTAGATACTTAGCCAGCATTCCGCAATCTCCCTTGGCTGTGTTCGCTGCTCTCTTGTTACGCAATTCTTCCAAACTCATAGAGCTCATAGACGTGATTTTTGATGCCCCCTACACCCTAAACTTACTGGTGGTTTGTAGGGAGCAAGGGAATATGATCCCCCTGTACTCCCAACTAACCCCCAGTAAGTAAACCCCAACACCCTATACCCTAAATAGTAGCTTCCACTTTCTTTTCCATTATCCCTATATAACCCCTCTACACTCCTATGCAGTCCACTATGTTGCCCTCTAATCCACTACAGACCCCGATATAATCCACTTTATGCCCCTATTCAATCCACTATAGACCCTTGTATAATTTACCCTGAACCCTAAACCCCTAAACCAATGTAAGCCTAAAAGCTGTTGGGTGAAGGTCCGGGCATGGGACTTACCTCAGGACCTGAGGCCTGAGGAGTGTTTGGGTTTAGGGTTTAGGGTGTTTGTAGTGTAAGAGTCGGGAGTTTGTTCTCAGCCCAGTTTGACTGGTTTAGTCAACGTTCTGTGAGGTTCTACAGCTTTTTTGGTGCGTTTTCTCCTTCGATGTGGCAGTTTAAGGTTCATGGCGTGCATAAATTTGCTTTGTTGCGACATTGGCATCACAACCAGTAATGGTCACGACTTGATTCTCGTCAACTATCCATGATAGCCTCTTTGCAATCGAATGATATTTAGGGTACCCAAAAAGGGATCATAATTTTGACAACCGCCCATATAACCGTGAATCGCCAGGAGGATGTCAGTGCTGGTGGAATCCCGCACGTATTACAAGGGGGGCATGTACAAGGTCAAACTGGCCCTAAGGATCAAGTTGATATAGTAGTTAATATAGACCCTAATATACTGTAATGCTTATTTTGGGGATCCCCAAACGCGAACCTAGCGAGGGGACACAGATTGACGCGGAGCCCTTCTTGTGCCCCCAGACAGGGGCTTTCACATGTCCTGAACAACAAGACTTGAGCAGAGGCTCTCAAGGAAGTTGCGAAACACGCAACAATTGCAATACAATCGCATGCAATACAGGGCCGAAATGTTCCACCCACATCCCTGTCACCAATATAACCCTAATATATACTCTACTATAATGAAGTAGTTTCCATTTTATTTTCCATTATCCCAATATAACCCCAATAAAACCCTAATATAAAGGGGACTAACCACACACTGAACTTCTTCACCTGAAGCTCCTGCCTTCACACCCCAGCCCTAGACTGGGTTGCTGTTAA